ACCATCATCAGCATGCATTAGCAGCACCATTACAACTGGCAATTCCATTTGGATTCCCAGTACCACAACTCAAGGGTAAATGGAATCAAGCTGCCACAGGTCACAATGCGCATATAGGTGCGTAGCTTCCACAGGTCAAATGGTGCATGGCACTCCATAACCATTGTCATGATCACAACCATTGCCATTAGTATTGCCACACGCCACAAGGTGAATAGCCATTGCCACCGCTATTGGCATCAGCGTCAGCATTGCCATTCACATTGCCAGTGCCATAAGCATCAAATTAATACTATTGGTGGCAATCAGGTTTATATTGCTAGCATTCAGGTTTGGAAGCTTTCTGGAAAAAACTGCCCCGCTACCACATGCAATACTGGCTGGCGTGGCAAAGATTCAGTCTTTGAGTGAGCATTTTCATTGTTTGAAAGAACCCACACTCCTTCCAGTGAAGGAGTTGAATCACTTTTTGAGCCACAGGCCAGTGGGAAAATTGCGTTATGGTGAATGGCATCAACGTCCCACATACCACTGCCACAGGTCAAGGGTGAATGGCCATCACCAGTACCATAAGCATTGCCATGGGCACTACCATTGCTATTAGCACCAGCATCAAGCTTCCACAGGTCACAGGGAAAGTTGCATTATGGTGAATGGCATCAAGGTCCCACATAGCATTGCCACGGGTCAAGGGTGAATGGCCATTAGCAGTACTATTTGCATTGCCATGAGCATTACCATTGTTCTGAAATCTCACCAAATCATTGCAAATACCAGAGAAATTGTTTAAAAGGTAGGTCTTGGGGGGAGTGTAGCATATATATATATATGTATATTTATATACATACACACACACACACTATTTATGAGCACCTGTTGGCACGGAGAAAGGACGAGCAAACACATACGCACTATTTGGCAACTTAGTAGATGCCTTTCTGGCTTGTCATTACTGCACATTGACATGAATGTAGCCTCAGGAGCAAAGGCGCCACCATATGAAGCAGATAGCAAGTCAAGTTTCGGACAGGCATTGTCTCTTCGTCAAGTACTGAAAAAACTGGAGGCCAGATCCACCCACAGGAGCATCATTTGTGCATTGAGTGGGCTGCGTTCTGCGACAGGCTGCCTCGGAAGCTCGAGTTCTGCTACTGGATTTGGTCCTTCCGTTTCCAGGTGAAAGAAGCTGGAAGCTGCAGTTAGGGACAACCCGCTTTTGAAAGCACACATCAGCATGTCGGTCAGGCGTGAAAGATGATGGATTTCGAGCTGAGATAGCCGGAGTGCTGTACAGGCCTCGACATGCCCTTGACTGTGGATGTTCAACGTTCGTCTTGTGTCTTGCAGGCACAATGCAGGTTTGAAACTCAGGGCCATGATCATGATCAGTTTACTTTGCTCTTATTGTTGAGTTCAACAAGGATTCAAACAGCCCAGACTCAACACACCCGCAATCTTCACGCTACTCTCTTTGAGTGCCTTGCACTAGTGTCTTTGCCAATCCGCAGTATCCGGATGGAATAAGAGCATTGGAAGCTGCAACTCAAAGCAAGCTGCAGCCGAAGAGTGACACATGTAGTCCTGTTGAGGCGAGGCAGCCCTTTCTGCGGCCCAAAGAAGGTTTGGGCGCGGGAGTCTTTTGCTAATGATACAAAACAGTTTGCCAATAACATCTTGTCGGCTTCAACAATAAGGAACCTTTTGCTTCCTGTGAGCAGCATGAAGTCTGATCAGTTCCTCCTTGGCAAATACATAGCACAGGACCAGATTGAACTTTATGCCCTATGCACCTTCGACACGGTGGTCTTAGAGTGTTGCCTCTATGACTTCGCTGAGGTAAAACCGGGGCCCTGCAAACTGTTGCTCGTGAAGATATTCTACAGTATATATATGTAGTTATCTTTATTTTGGGCCTGCAGTTTTGACAATCCATTGGCTATAGATAGATGGTTGAAGGGTATGCGGTCCAACACTAGTGAAAGTATGCGATGAGTTGAATTGCTGAGAGCCTATCAAGTTTCACACGTCCTTTACTGGCTGCAGTGCAGGGTGTTGGGAATGTGCCGCCAGGCTGCAATATCCAGCAGCACATGCGCTTCGCGGATTACGGGATGATCGGGCAGCAGGACCAAAGCTTGCGAGCGGCTATGGATAGGCTAGCTCTATGGTTCCCAGGGTGGGAACAGTTACTCGAAGAAATCCACTTGTGCCGAGTCGAGTGCCAAGGACTTCTTCGAGACGAGACTTTGGAGAGCCAATTCTGCCTTGGGGCGATGACGCGAGAGCTCGTTCAAGATCTTGGCCTCGTCGGCTCCACAAAGAAAGCTAGCAGGCAGGAAGAGCTTGTGAGAGTGTAGATTTGGACAAACGACAAATGTCTACAGCATGATTCTAGGCCGCTGCTTTCAATGGGTTGCGCCCATCTTCAACGCCCAATGCATTTGAAGAACAGAAACAAATAGTGCTGGTTTCGTCTCGCACTTGCCAAGTACCACTTCACAGACTCTTCAAAGGTGTTCTGAATACTTCTGATTGCTTTGCTCAAGATACAGTAAAGCTTTTGAATGGGCTCATGCTTTTCAGATGCCTTGGATAGTCCGCAGCAGTGCCATTGATGCGAGGCAGTTTCATGATAAACTTGGTGCATCGATAGCTTGAACCCAAGGCGAGTCATGAGGTACACATCAACACGCACAAGAACATCACGCTCCATGAAACTACATATATATATATTCATTATATTTATTCGGCCAGCCATGATTGGAACCTACAGCTTGCAGTTGTCGCAAGCATCATTATCTCATAGAACCACACACGCACACACACACACACTGGGGAATGGGTTAGGAAGTTGAAGCTTTAGAGCGATGTTAAAGTCCAAAACCTCCTAAGTGTCCTCGAAAAAGGCAGTTCAATCCAGCAGGAAACATTACGACACCGCCGATCGACACAGTAGTTCGCTGCAAAACACCGTACTAGACAGCTTGAAAATTACTTCCACTTCCAAAAATTGAGCAGGTACACAGTCAGACGTCTCTGACGGCTTCCGATGACATCACTAGCTTCGTTGGCCAGCGTCGTGATGCCATGCGCTGG